TTGCAGGACACAATGGATTGCAACCTCCAACTCATGCCTTCCCCGATCGTCCCCAGTCAGATTCTGTCTTCATGTGCGAAGCTCCTCCTCCGTATCCGGGAATCGGACCAGATCGAAACCCAATGCCTACAGAACAACTTCATCGAGCTGGAACAGCCTCACCACCTCCATATTCAGCTGACTCGGAAGGCTTGAGAAGAAGACACTGAGTTTACAAGATTATTACGTACAGCTATTATACCTTTGGTAATTCTACAATCAAATCCTTTTCTGAATAATGAATTAGACATCCTCTCCTTTCCAGTGTAATTGTGTTAGTATGGTACTTCAAGCAGGATGCAAAGTTTTGAGCAAATGCTCATCTTCGATTTTGTACAAAGAACTTTGGAGGGTAGCATCAAATAGCTTTTCTTTTTTTGTCCAATGAACTGGAAAAGCAGGCGTTGAATGTTTGTTTCTTGTGGACTTGCGGACTTCGCGCAATCGTTGGGGTTTGCATAATGTTCTCCCATCTTGCTTCACCCCAATAAATATCACAGTAAAAGATTGTGCATTTAGAATCGTTGAGTTCTGTATGCAGTTCGCTAAAAGATCTTCGCTAGGACTTATTTTTCGAATGCCAGGCTATCTTAATTCTAGTATTCTATTATATTTTCAGTAAAAAGTGTCAAGTCCTGAATGCTACTGATACACTAATAAAACGCGCCCTTTCTGCTATCAGTCACCCCAACTTCGGCAATTAGCTATAGAGTTAATTTGGAATAGCTTTCAGTTAGAGATGCTTAAGTTTTCCTGCTTGAGATATCAATCAGTACTATGATTTTTTAAGATGATGTATTGATAATGTCTGTGATTGTAAAGCGATTTTACGGTGAAAATCCATGGCAATACTATTTTCGAACATATCTTCAATCATTATATCCTCTTGCTCTTATGTGGGTGATAAAATTTCTTGTCTCTAATGAGTAATGCTACCGTGGCTATAACCGCTGTGTTTACCTTACATTGGAAATTATGCTTTGACATAATATAGTTCATTTTTCTACAGAAATGGCATCAAACTTGACCGTGAAAGTACACCCAGTGGTCTACATGACGATTGTTGATTCATATCTTCGAAGACAGCGACCTACTAAGGCAGGACAACCTGCAAATGATAAAGCGTTGGGTACACTCATGGGATTTTATGAGAAAGATGCAGTTCAGGTATGTTTTTAGGTAGGACATCGGTTTCC